AGGCCGTGTGGAGCCAGCCCGTGGGCCTGGGGAGGGCAGGCGGGGGGCTGCCTCGAAACCTACTGAGCAGCTTCAGTGTTCTGTTTGTCTTGTTTTATTTTGAGAACATAAAAAAGGAAAAACAAGAAAGGACAGAGAATAATGTAACAAACACCCATGTGGCCACCACCCAGAGTTGACATTTTTGCTTCAGGTATTTGAAATATGAGCAAATGGGAGCATCAGTGCAGACAGAAGTGGGTTCCCTTCGCTCCCCTGCACGGCCCTGCTCCCTCCTTGTCCCCCGGGGGAGACGCTACGTTTAATGTATATCTTCATACTCTGTCTTCATAGTTTTACTGCAGGTATGTGAACCCATGCATAATATAAAGTCGCGCTGGGGGTGTATTTTAGAAGCATGCTTAAATGCTGGCGTGCTGTAATAGCCTTCTCTAACTTGCTTTTGTTACTTAATGTTATGTTTTCAAGATTTAGCCCTGTTGGTATTTATATCTGGTTCATTTCTTTTCAGAGTTGCAAAGTGTTTCATTGTACGACTGTACCACAGTTTATCTATCTGTCCCACTGAGCATGGGCACTCAGTGCTTTCTGGTTTTTCTGTGTTGCAAGAACATTGCATGAGTGTCTTCGTGCCTGTCTCCTGACACAGGGACATGCCTGAGCCACTTTCAGGCCTGATGGCCAAGTTCAAGTAGGCCCAGACCATCCCCTGACCTCCCTTGGGTTTCTCTGAGCTTCATCATCACCCAAACCAGCTGCCTTCCGCTCCTTAGCTCTCCAAGCAGGGGAGAGTTCTGGGGGAGCCAGGAGGGGAGAAGGAGGGATCTGATGAACGGAACTGGCCGTTGATATGGCCAAGGCATGGTTTGTATTTGTCATTCCCACCCAGCCCTACTGCCCTTCCATGCTTGTTTGATTTTTATTTTATGTCACTACATCTATCATAACACCATTTAAGAAAGCTCAAATATCTATCTCACCCACATTCCTGTCCTACTAGCACAACTGTTTTCACTTTTCTGAGCCCTTTTGGTCTCTGTCCACACGCATACGTGCTTATCCACAGCTGTAATCGCACACACAGCACCGTGTATTCTGTATTTTCTAGTTAACCATGTATTACAAACATTTTCCATCTTGCTTCAGTTTTCACAATGACCTTTTTGGTGATGGCAGAATATTTCGCCCTGCCATCTGCCCTAACCTGCTCTTCCTATTCTCAGGTCCGCTTTTCCTCCCATTTCTCTGCCCAGCTCCCAGCACCCTCAGATCATATTGCCATCCACATGCAGAGCAAGAGGCTCTCTGGGTGACAACCCTGGCCAGACTCTCTGCCCCAGCCTGCCCCGCCCCCATCCCCACCCCCCGCCACCTCCTTCAAAACTCCCCCTCTTGGCAGTAGAAAAGCAACTGATTCAACTGTGGGGCCCTCGCAGTGCACGTGGCTTGAGATGGTTTTAAATACTCACAAATAGGCTTCTCCTACAAGGAGACTGTTGGGAGTGGGCTTTTTAGGCCTTGTTCTTTCTTCTCTGGGTTTTGAAGGAGATGGTGAAGGGGATTCTTAGGCATTGCTGGTGTCCAGGGCCGGGGGCTTGGGGCTGAAGCCCTCTCTAGGAGCGTGGAGTATGTGTTCTATGCCCAAAAGTTAAGCTTGGGATGGTGCAAGTAAACTATCAGCATCACACTGATCCTGGAACCCTCACTGCAGTGTAGACACTGTCTGTGTCTTCTGTGTCTTTAGCTAACTTCCTCCGGCCAGCATGGAGGTTTCTGTTTATCTCATAGAGCCAGGCAGCAGTCTTCTGTACATCTGCCTTCTCATGAGCCAAATAATCAACTTACGGATGATTTAAAAAAATAATAATAATGAAGTTATTTGTAACAAGAGCTACTATTTATGGAGTACTTACTGTATATCAGATACTCTGCTAAAAAGCATTTTATGCTTGTCGTCTTGTTTATTCCTCACAACAACCAAATAACATCAGAAGCTATCACCACCCCCATTTGCCAGCTGTGGAAATGAGGCTCTGAGAAGTTAAGTGGCTTGCCTGGATCTTCCTGAGAATTCTCACTGCTCTTCCCCCAACCATCCAGCCATCGCAGCTGGGAAACACGAGTTCCAGCAAAGCAGAGCCAGGCTGCTCCTCTTTCATTCCCTCCAGAGAAGCCCTTGCTGGTGTGAGAGTTATTTGGTATAAAGGCACCGGTTAGAAATCTTCCATTCCCTTTAAGTTTCCCAGTAGAGGCTTTGCCCTCTTTTCTCTGTAGACAGCTCTGCCTTGGGGAACTTGCTTCCAGGGAGGGAGGATTGGGGATTGCATGACAGGGGGAGGAAAGGGAAGAGGTGACTGGAGCCTCAGCCTCCTTCCTGCACGCAGCCTTGGGAAGCGAGAGAAGAGGGAGGTGGGCGGTGCAGAAAGCTGCAAATGCTGGGCCTCCCCTTGCGCCAGTGCTGGGAGAGCCCCCCACCAGCTGGTGACCTGGTAGAAAGAACAGCAGCTTTTACAACAAGCAGACCAGGGCTCCTGTCCCAACTTGGCCACTTACTGGCCAGGCGACCTTGGGTAGATAACCTGACCTTCCATAAAAGGGGGATAGTTGTACTTCCCACCACCATCTGATAGCATTGCGTGAGGCGGCAGGGGCTGTGCCTAGCACAGGGCAGATGCACTGGAGACGCAAGCTTCCTCCCCCTCGCCCGCTGGCCCATGCCTGGAGGAAAGCACACATGGAGGGCTCTAGGGCAAAGCTAACCAAGATCCCATGATGGGAAGGGGGCCTGGCACCCTGCACAGAGACGCTTTTCCCCGTCCACGTGCCAGAAATGGGCTTCTCTGGGTTGAACTCTGACTGTGCTTGTTTTACTGAGTTGCTTTCTGTTTAAGCCCCACAGTCACACACACCTCGTCATCTTGGGCTCCTAGGTATGGGCTTCAGTGCTCAAAGCACCAACTCTGAGTGGGGGCTGCTTTCCTGTAGCCATGGGGAAGGAGTGGGGAGACCCGAGGCCCAGGGAGCTGGTCCTTGGTGGAGTCAGCTCAGGGCTCCTCAGCAGCCAGCTGGGGCTCCGGGTCCTTGCCCTGCTGTCCTGGTCCCCACCGGCATGAACTCGAGGGGCTGCAGCTGTGGTAACAAAGAAGGCCTTAGGGTAGTCCCTTGGAGAAACCGAGGCACCAAACCAGGAATCGGGCTTCTTAGCCTTCAGATTTTACTTTTCCTCCCTTTTCTATCCTCTTGCTTGTCCTCTACAGACCAACTGGGCATGCCCTGTCTGGGCTACAGACAGGCCGGTTGCTGTGTCTAATCATAGCAGTGGGTGGGCCCTGGTTTAACCCAACACATGTAATTGCCCAGTTCCTGAAACACACTGACTCTCTGATGAAAGAACTTTGTCGGAGCATTGCTGGGATGGGGTATGGCAATGGGGAGGCACTCATTTGCAGCTGGCTGGCCTGTCATGGCCCAAGCCTCCGTTAAGGCTGCTAACTCAAGCCCAGCCTGATCCTTGGGGATGGGGATGCACCTGATGTGGCCTCCGAGGGATAAAACGCAGCTGTGATGAGGAGGCTGGAAACATCCCAAGTCTCTTTTACTCTCACACACAACTTCTCTGGTGGCCTGGACAGCTCCGAGCACATGTTAAAAGCCTGCAAGGAGTCCCAGCTACATGAGTCTGCGTGCGATGCAGTGGAATGGCAGTCCTCCAGAGCGCATTGCTCTCTGGATCTGTTCCCTAACACGCCAAGCCACTTCCTATAGGTTTGAACGTAATGGAATTGTTTTCCCTTTTGAAGACAGGCCTGCGACTGCATGCCCGCTGTACCAGCCACCGCGGCGGGTTACAAAACACCAGGGCCGTATTTCGGGTACCTTAGTGCCCCCCACAGAGAAGTAGAATGTCAGTGGAGCAAATTACTGACCGAACACTTTGGTATCTATAAATATTAAATTGCTCTGGCTTTCACTGGCCCATATAAAATTAAAGCTGGTCGGCTCCAGAGGAGAGGCAGCTGATTACTGCAAGGTGGGGAGGGGACCAGCTGCCAGCGGAGAGACAAGTGTCCCTAAAGGGCAGGACCAAGGCTGACTCTGGGCTGTGGTTGGCGGGGGGTGGCCCTGGCAGGAGGAGAATCAGCGCAGAGTGGGGCGCGCAGAGTGGGACACACACAGCAGGGAGGTGCAACACTCAGATGCGACTGTAACCAGGATGTGGTTTTCTTTGATTTCTCATTTGAGGCTTTATGGTTGGGAGGGTTGTGGGGAGCTCCGTGCTGCATTTCTCACCCCAGTCTGGCCCTCGAATGTGAAGGGGCGGTGTTGCCATCAGCATGCTCCCTCCAGGGACTGTCCTCCTCAGAACGGGTATTGGACCCTCCCCAGGCAGCAGGGCTGGAGCTGGGCGGGAAGGGCCACTGGCTGGCTGGCAGCCCCTGCCCCAGGCTCCCCTCTCTATGGGCCCCTGTGCTCACACAGTGGGGCCCTCCTGCCTGTGTGAGGCCTCCCGTGGCATCAGTTGATTTGTGCTGGTTGGTGTGTCTGGAGCAAGTACGCCACATGGAAGTGGGTTTCTATATCACTCCGTTAGGTTTGAGTCTCCCTGCAGGTGGGAGGAGCGTCTCCTGCTTGTTTGGGATCTCTTTAGGATTTATGGACTGTTTTTATGTGTCAAGACCCTGTTTTCAAAGTTCTTTAAATGCATGACCTCGTTGATCTTTACAGAGGAGGAGAAGGTAGGAACTGCATGCATGCACCGTGTTGCAGCGGAGGATGCTGAGGCCCAGAGAGGTGAAGTACGTGCTCAGGGTTCCACGGAGAAGTTACACGCAGAGAACCCACGGGAGTTCTGTGGCTATTCAGTGGCTGAGCCTGGGTTCCATCCTTTCCGACTCTTAATCGTCAGCCTGTGTGGCATCCTAGGTCCCTCCCGTGAATTGTGGGTGGGAGCCGGCCCCTCCTGCCAGGGCCTGCCTCTAGGCCAGCTCTTTCTCTTACAGGCATCCCCACCCTCATCGTGCTGGACCCGCAGGGGGAGGTGATCACGCGGCAAGGGCGCGTGGAGGTGCTCAACGATGAGGACTGCAGAGAGTTCCCGTGGCACCCCAAGCCCGTGCTGGAGCTCTCTGACTCCAACGCTGTGCAGCTCAACGAGGGCCCCTGCCTCGTCCTTTTTGTAGGTATGAAGCTTAGTGGGGGCCCCAGGGCCGGATGGGACTGGACAGGCCTCCCATGGCGGGTGTCTTTCCCTGCAGCTTCTTTCTCTCACAACAACGCAGAGCCTGGGCCTTTGTCTCTCCCTGCAGCCTTGCTTTTGACCCCAATGATTTATTCATGGCTCTCCCCCTGCGGGAGGTGCTCTGGGAGCTGCTGCTGTGCTTTCCTTCCTTGCTGCTCTGGCTGCCAGCAGGGAAGAATAGGTCAGGCCAGGAGGATGCCCTGGGCCCCCCTGATGAACAGACCCATTGTTGGAAGGAGGCAGGGCTGCACGCACAGCAGCTGCAGGGGGCTGGCCCCCTTCCGGCCAAGGCTTACCCCAGGCTGCTTCTGCCATCACCTGTGTCCTAATGAACTGTCCAGGGGCTGCTGGAGCTGGCCCCAACCTCAGGGCAGCATCTCTGGGGCCACGTGTCCCTTCGGCACCCCTGCACCATCTCACCCATTCTGGCACTCAGTGGATGACCGTGCTCTGGGGGCAGGAGGACATGGGAACATTTACTCTAGGCTCCCTGCAGCCCTGTGGGATGACCCTGATTCCTTGCAAACAGAGCAGCTGATGCTCAAGGGCCACCTCACCCTCTGCCTTGGGACTTGCTGCTGAGCTCCAACTCAAAATAATTAGGGTACTAGGATCATGGCTGAGATGCTGCCTACCCACTTCACCAAGGGGAACTGGGGATATGTGCAACCTTCTCTCCCCATTCTCCAGAAGTCTGGTTCAGGGCCCCCAGGAGGGGAGCCAGTACCCACACTCGGAATTCTTAAGCATGCAGACTTGCAGGCTGGTCCTGTGCTTGGAGGACAGAGGCCCCCTGCGGAGAGGTGGCCTTGGGGAGTCATTTACCTCGGGGCTTTCCTGCCTGCTGCAGGCTCACACACCCACATCCTGGGGCCGCTGGGAAACAATTCTGAACTGAGGGACAATTGGGAATGTCCCTGGCCATCTGCAGATGTGGAAGCAGGGTTCCAGAGGTGAAGCGAGTCCCAGCATCTCAGAGCTAATTAGATGTGGCTCTAGAGGGTGCCCGCCGGGTCTGCACGCTGCGGGCCTCCTGGGCGGTGTGGCATTTCTGGGTGAAAGTCCTCTGCTGGCACCTGCTCTCCTTCCCCCTGCTTTGCCCCTCTTGCTCTTGCTCTTGGTTCCGGGGCTCAGCAGGAGTGAGCCCTAGGAGCACGTGTGTGGCTGCTCCCATGCTGCTGTTTCACTGGAGGCATGAGGTGCCTAAAGGTGGCCCTGGGGAGCCTGGTCGGGTGCTCTCCCACGCGGTCAGCCTATCTCCTCCCAGGTGAGACCTGCTGATGGCTGTGAAGTTGGCATTCCCGCAGCCCTGGTGCCTCCTCACTGCCACCAAAGCTGTTGATTGGACCACAGTCCTGACCTCCCAGCTCCTCCTTCTGCCACTTTCATTAGGAAGTCAGAGATCTGAGGTCATGGTATCTCATTCTGTGATCAGGAGCAAAACTACCTGGGACCTCAGGTCCTGGCTTAAGGGAAGCTCGGCTTTCAAGGTGGGTTTGTGAAGAATTCTGTGAAAAGGATCATGTTTGCCTGGGGCATTAGTGCTACTCAGCGAGGTGAGGTGTTTCTGGGGAGCGTGGCGTAGGAGAGCGCTGTGCGAACCGGGGCATGTGCGCACAGGGCCCACCCTAGGGCACCCAGGAGGCGAGGCCTGTGTCCCAGGGGAAGCTCTTTGTCCATGCAGGGGCTGCCCAGATGGGCATTTCAGGCCCTTGGCCCAGGCTTCTTTGGGGGGCACCACTCCATCTGTCTGACAAGCCAGGGTGTCTCTGTGTCATTCTCTCGCCATCACAGATTCTGAGGATGATGGGGAGTCTGAAGCGGCCAAGCAGCTTATCCAGCCCATAGCCGAGAAGATCATTGCCAAGTACAAGGCCAAAGAGGAAGAGGCGCCACTTCTGTTCTTCGTGGCGGGGGAGGTGAGTGCCTCCATTTTAGAACGTGAGTTGGGGGCCCCAGGGTCTGGGGTGAGGGTGCTTCTGGAGAGCCGACAGACAAATGTGGCATGGAAAGGTGCGTCATCAGGCATGGAAAACCACTTCCTGCCCCTGCTGCTTTCTTCTCCCAGTCTTTCTCACTCAGCAGCCTCAGAGCAGCAGGATATCCTCCCAGGACAGACATCCCACGTGCACCTCTCCCACCCAGGCTCTGGGGAGAGTGGCAGCCACAAAGATCGTGATAACACCTACTCCCTCCGGGAGTAACCAGGGTCCAAACCAGGCCCCTGATGCTTTGCTGAGTGTCTGCTTGGTTAGTCCCTCCTACCAGCCTGGAGATGGGCTTTTCCCATTACAGGGATCCTTGCTGGGGGCCACAGCTGCGACCTGCAGTTATGGACAGTGCTGAGGTTGGAAACTGCTGACATCCCAGCTCTTTTACCCAAGGCCTTTCCCCTGGAGGCCTCCAGCTGGGCGGGACCAAGCAGGGGGCTTTTCTCAGGGTGAGACGTCTGGGCCCTTCAGTCGAGCCGACTTGAGCAGATGCGTGGCTCCCCTAAGGAGTACGAGCCTCTGTCTTGCAATGTGGGGGTCTCAGCAAGATGGCTGCGGTCGGCGTAGACGCTCTACCTCGGTCCCCACCCCCACGAGCTTCCTCCACGCATGCTCCACTGCCTCCCACCCTCCCAGGCACCCGCCGTTAGCCAGTTATTGACGGACACTTTTTGAAGCGCCCCTGCTCTCCTCCACCTCCAGTTGGTCAGAACCCCGTGCGCATTTCCCACTGTGTTTCAATCCCAGGAGAGGCAGTGGCGGCTGGACACCCTGAACCACCCATTCATCACCTCCTCAATAGCAGCCCCTGCTAAGCCCTGCTGGGCCCCTCACAGCCGGCGGAAGTCCCCCTGCTCAGCTCTGGGGTGGAGGAAACAAAGCAGGTTCACAGGGCCCTGCCTGGAGGAAACAAAGCAGGCACGGAGGCTGCCCGGAATTTATTAAACGCTAACCCCTTTCGAATGGCTCTGAGAGGAAAGAGGGGCGCAGAACAGAAAGGGCTCAGCCGTGGGCAGGGGTCGGCGCTAGGAAGCTCCAGTAACTGCTTTAGAAATGTGGCTGAAAAGCAGCATCTGCAGGTTTTTTAGATACCAGGTACCAAGCCAAATGCTTCACTTGCTGGGTCCCATTTGCTCCTCTCTCGGGTCATGGGAATCAGTACGCTCCACAGATGAGGAGGGCCGGCTCCGAGAGTGTGAGTGCTGCCTGGCTTGCACACCTCACGTGGCCCCACGTGAGCTGTTATTAAATCCATTTTACAGGGGATGAGACCTGGGCTCGGAGAAGTGACTTGTCAAAGTCACACATTAAGTAGGTGGCAGAGAGAGGAGTAAACGTGAGGTCGGTGTGGCTCCAGAAGTGCTGCCACTCCTTCTGTCCATGTGGTCCAGCAGGTGGACCGGCCCAGGCCTAGAGGGAAGGATGCTTGGACCAGGAAGTTGGACAGGGGAGCTGGGGTCATCTGCTGCTCCAGTTCCCCACCTGGCCGCCCTGTCCTTCCTGTGCACTTCACCTGGGCAGCTCCCTTGGTCCAGTTCTCTGTCCTCATGCTCAGAAACAAAGCAACATGGAAGGAGGGTAGGCACAGGGTGCTGGAACATCAGGCAGTAACTGAGTGACTCTGAGACCAGGACTCTGGCCCTCTCACAGTCCACCCAGGGCTAAGGGGAGCCCCTTGTTTGTCTTGATCCTGTCTGCTCTGGCAGGCGGAAGTCATCCCTTCTGAAGCCTTAACAGACATTAGAATTCATCTCCATTTGATTTGCTCAGAGGAGAGGGGAGGGAGGCAGCGTAGCTCTTGGCTTGGCCTAGGCCTCCTAATGGGAATTCGATGTATGGTATTTGTCCAGGTGTCTCTCTTCTGTTTATCATGAAGATTGTTTATTAACCCATATGGAGGGCCTGACTTGGGTGAACAAACCAGAGAGGTTGAATCACCCGGTGTGGCTGGGAAGTGCGTGCTGTTTCTGGGGTGGGGGAAAAAAAGACGATCACTAAATCTTGCTAAAGATTTGCCCTTTGAGAAAGGAATGTTTTTTGTCTCAGAAACTGGTGAACCGTAAATTTCATGCCTCCTGGTCACCAGCATTTAAGGCCAGGAATACCCCACACCCTTTCTCTGCAGGGCGATCCTGGTCTTTTCATTCTGTTTAGAATGTTGTGCATTTCATAGTGAGATAACCTCGGGATGGCTATGTAGAGTCCATTTGCTGTTATCTACTGAATGAGGGTCAACAGTGTAAAAGGTAATCTCAAACGGTTGCTCCCTACAAATCTTTCTCCTTGTCTTTGGCTTTCTGCGTTTGCCTTTAGACTTAGTAAGGCTACATGTGATGTTAGGAAATCCACTTGGACAGCCACTGGGAATGTATGATGAAGTGCCGGCTTCCTGCTCAGATCAAGACAGTGAGCCGTTAGACCTCAGCCGTACTTCACTAGCCCTGTCTCCTGAACTGGCCGTGCAAGTCCTGCCCGACTGAGACACAGGGGTGGAGGTGGGGGCAGGGAGCTGTTTCTGTGTGTAAACACTCCAGAGTTGAAGTCCAGACTGGCCTCAGATAATCCACAGTGGCGCTGCAAATGATTGAGAGCTGACTGCAAACGTACGTAATCAAAGGGCATCACGTTTTTACAGAGCAGAAGACGTGTTAAAGTTGCGTTCATCCTAATAAGGAAAGATGACTTGCCTGGTGGTTTGGGGTGATGCAGAGAGAGAGTGTGTGAACCAGCCTCCCCCTCCCCAAGGCAGGGCAGGGTCCACTGCTCCCCGTTCCAAGAGCCCATCTTTCCTGGAGGGGCCTGCTCCTCAGGGTGATGGAGTGGTTCCATTCCATGCCATCTGGGGAGCCTGGGCCTGGGGGACGTTACTCTCTTTCTTGAAAACTTACTGGTTCTCTCTCCCTTCTGGTGACTTCCAGGATGACATGACTGACTCCCTGCGAGATTATACCAACCTGCCTGAGGCTGCCCCTTTGCTCACCATTCTGGACATGTCAGCCCGGGCCAAGTACGTGATGGACGTGGAGGAGATCACCCCTGCCATTGTGGAGGCCTTTGTGAATGACTTCCTAGCAGAAAAGCTCAAACCCGAGCCCATCTAGTGGGGCTCTGGCCTCATGAGACGTTATTTAAAACTCAGTCTTCTCCTCCTCCTCCCCTTCCTTCCCTTTGCCCTTGGACTTTTCCAGCGTGTTTTGAATCACACAACTCAAGTGTCCAACCTCTCTGTGGTGCCTTGTTTTCTGCATTAACTCCTCAGCTAGCACCTCAGGGTGCGCATCCTCTCAGCAGCAGAAGAACCCACCGTGTTTGGAGACCCTGCTTGGGATTCACGGGGCTGGCATAACCCAGCCAGAAGTGGGACTGTGTCACTCAGTGACTAGCTCTTAGTGAAGCATCCGCCAGGGTGTTCTCCTGCCAAGTTCACATGAAGCAACAGGGCATCGGGGCTTGGGCCCTGCCTCTGGGGTCAGCACGTGCTCGAGACAGCTCAGTGACACCTGTACGTGCAGGTGGAGCAGGGAAAGGGCCACGGCGGCGTTAGGCCTCAGCTTAGAGCTGCTGGTGAGAACATCCTTTCCTAGTGACTTAGTCTGTTCAGTCTGAGGGAGAAACACCAGCTTGTCAGTCAGTTCTTGGGCAGTGGATCTCCAGATCTCAAAGGAAGCTTGCATTCTCTTTTGGTGAGAAAAAGAGTAGCTACAGTAATGATTTATATAGTAATTGCTTACTTTTATTGAGCTCCTACCATGTGATAGGAGCTTCTCATTCTTTCCTAGTATCTTTCTTCCTTGATCTTGACCTTCTCCAAGTTTCATACGAACAGCCCCTACTATCTTGGAATTTTGTTGATAAATTCTCACCCTTGGACATCTTCCCAAGAAGATGCACTCAGCCCTGCCTTCTTAGAGGAGCAGACCTCTAACTTGGCCCAGCTTCGGGCCTGGGGCTGCAGCAGCTCTGCTGAGGTGCCTGTGCCCACCTTTGGTTACCCCTGTCGTTCCCTTTTCATAGCAGAACTAAAAAGAGACAAGAAATTACCAGAAGCCTAGCTTTTTGCTAAGAACCTGCAGAAAGAGCTGTGCCCTAGGGTGGGAGTGAGGGCAGAGGACACGTCAATGAAGAGTAGGCCTTGGATCCGCTTTGCTAGGTTCCGGTAGCTCAGCTCCTTATTTGGGCTGAACTGACCACAAAAACAAAAACCACAACAGCTGCGTACTTAGGCTTTGGGTTGGAGGGCTTCGGCCTAGGGATTCGCAGGGTGTTAGCCTCTCTCAGTCAGGCGTCAGGGTCTTGAAATAATCCCAGGCCTTACCCTTCACCCCACTCCCAGCTGTCTGCCAGTCAAGACCGTTTATTTGGAAAACCCAGCCCCCAGTGAGCTGTTGACACTGTTGCTCCTTTGCCAAATTGGATTGTTGATTTGTAGTTCAGAGGTACAACATTAGTTGGTAATTAGACTGTTCCTTGATGTCACCAGCCTGAAATGCAATTGCCTAGTAGGAAATAAAGCGGGCATCTCTGGACGTTATCAACCACCCGGCCTTTCCTGTCCTTCGTAACAAAAATCTGTTTGCTTGTGGTGCTGTGCTCTCATGGGGAGTGGGCAGTGGGGGGTGGGACACGTGAGATCTTCTTGACTTTCACGGGATACCTGGTAGCTATGTTTCAGAACTTCCAGGAACCCCCAGACCGAATGTGGTCGTGGTGTCAAGTCCTCCAGAACCTGGGAAGCTCCTTGGAGTTGAGCGTCAGAGGCAGATCCCTGCTGGAGCCCTGGGTGCCATCTCTCCTGGTCTCACTTGCCCTTGTGGGGGTGGATTCTCAGATAACAGACATCCTTGTGGACACCCCTCATTCTCTTCCTTACTGGGGAGTAAGTGCTCTGAAGCCTGACGCCAGCTGGGAAAACAGAAGGAACCCCAGACAGGTCTCCCTGTGAAGAATGGGGCAATAGCTGGAGACCTCAAACCTAGCTCTATCCTTGGGCTGGGGGCTTCCCTGGGAATCCTACCAGTGTGTCCCTTACGGGTGGTGTGGGTGTGGGGACAGGCAAGGTCAACCTCGCTTGGAAGATGGGCAGGATTTGGCTGTGCCCTCTGTTGTGATAGCCTTAGAGGAAAGATGATTTCTCTCAGCAGCTACTTATCTTCTGGGGCAGAAGGAACAAAGTCCAGTGAGGAGTCGCTGTAAGTCACTGCAGCAGAAAAACGAGGTGCTCTGTAAGCCTTCCACAGCCCGTTCAGGGCTGACTGCGCTACTTGCCACTAAGTCAACTGGATCCTTGACGCCAGAACTCGCCCTTTAGAGTGGGAGCGTGGGTTAGTCAGGATGAGTGGGAAGGTTTATGAAAAAGCTGCTTTAGGTTGATACAGTGGTGACTTTGGGGGGATCCTTTGCCAGTGCAAAATCCCTGTCTTGATAGCCTAAGATCTTAAAGGTTACCGATGCAGACGAAGTGGGTGGTTTCTTAATTTCCACTAAGCAGCCCCCAAAATACCTTAAAATTCTTGTTGCTAATTAGAAGCAGGTTACAACACCAGCTGTGACACATTCAAGGGCTTCCGCCAGCAGCAAAGGAAACCATGCTCTGCAGGTTGAGGCAGGACGGTTGCTGTAAAAATGCCACCCTGCGGTTCCAGATTTGTGTTCACCATAATGGCTTCCAGATCCAATTCCCCCCATTTTCACAACAAACCTGGGATTTTTTTTTACCTGTCCCCAACAACAAAGATCTGCTTAAGAAGAAGGTATGTATTCGGCATTAGTACTACAGTGGGCAGCTGTGAATGCCAGAGGGCCACTGAAAACCAGCTTCCTCTCCAGGATGAGGTGGCCTACTGTTGTCCCCCAGCTCAAGGGTGTCCTTGAAATCTCTGGCTCTCACTTTTCCGAGCACAGGGAACCAGTAATGTTTTTTTGGCATCAGCCGAGCTTCAATTGGTAATTTTCAGCCAGACTTTGTTTTTTCCTGTTGCCTAATTAAAGACACTCAAAAGCTGTTCCCTCCTCCTGCTGCCTTGCTCCAGCACAGCAAACCAAACTCTGCAATGCTATAAAGACAGAGTAGGATATGGTCCAGGAACAGATCAGCTGGATCTAATAAGGTGTCGCACTGTCGCCTTAGGGAGAAAACCACAGACGTGTGCACATGTACACGTGTGGACGCGCAGTACACTCAGAACTGTAGTGCGAGTGTCTGGTCCAGGCCCCTCTAGCCTTGCAGGCGGGCGTGTGCATGCATTCCATTCACTGTCACTTCCCCCGGCCAGCCTGGCAGCCCCCTGGTTGCCTGGTAGGACCTGAACACGACTGCTTTCCGGCTTGTGGGGAGGGTCAGCAGTGCCCTCTGTGGCTTCCCCCTGGTGCTGCTGTGGGCCAAGCACTGACCCGGAGGCCCGGAGCCCAGGAGGATCTTTCAAGTTGGCCCTGAAGTGGCTGTGTTGAAGTGAGCACTTAGCCCGTGACCCTCTGCTGACATCAACAGGGTACAGGAGCACCCCCTGCTTTCCTCCGAGCAGGCTGCTCAAGGGCGAATTCTTTGGGAACAAATGGCTGTTGCCCGTTAGCTTCATTATTGGTGCTAATGGTGCATATGCAAAGGGTGAAATATTTTCTAGGAAACAAAAGGCCTGTATGTAGGAAAATATGACATTAGGATGTTCTACATACACCTTGTATGTGAAAGCATGAAGTAAATATGCTTCATTTTCAAGGCGTGAAGTATACCTCACCCCCTTGGTGTTCTGGAAAACTTCCCAAGCCAGGAAATGTGTTTAGATTTGGGTAGGACTTGTTCTGAAGGACTGCTGGATTTCCATTAAATAATGTGCCAGCTTATGAAAGCCTCTGTCCCCAGGCCTGTGGGCCAGTGTGAAGCCCAAAGGAGACAGACTGCCTCCAGTCTGGATTCCTGGGTACTCATGCGCACACAGGCCAGAACTAGGATACAGGAGAAGGCGTGATCTTAGGACCCAGGGCCAAAAAAACAAGTCTCCTTTGGACATCAGAGGATATGGGAGTATCCAACCAATCAAGACCCCTCTACTGGCTTGCGGCCAGTATGCGCCCCCACTTCCCATCACAGAGGTGCAAGGGAGGCTGGGAGGCCAGACCCTGCTGCAGCCATGTCTCCTCTTCAACCTTTGTTCCTTTCTTGCCTTTTGAGGCAGGCGTAGCGTTGGTGATGGCCCTCTCCAGCTATGAGGCTTCAATGAAAAAAGCTGCTCTTCTGTACAAAACAAATGTAGTAAGAACGGAGCTGATCCCATCTGTAACGTATTCTGGCTTCTCAGTCTTACCGGACTTTTGAGCATCAGCCCGGCATCCTGAGGCCTTCAGCAAGGACTCGGCCTGCAGCTGCTGTCTCAGCTGCTGCGATGTAACATGGCAGCCTAGTCAGGGACTTTAAGTCTCCCAGAGCAGTTAAGTCAGCTCATCCTTTAAGTTGGCTTCTAGCTTATTACTTTTGTGCAGTTATTGAAAACAGAGAAAACAAGGGGCCAGCCCTGTGGCCAAGTGGTTAAAATTCCAGACACTCCGCTTTGGCAGCCCTGGGTTCGTGAGTTCAGATCCTGGGTGTAGACCTATTCCACTCATCAGCCATGCTGTGGAGGCATCCCACATACAAAATAGAGGAAGACTGGTGCAGATGTTAGCCCAGGGCGAATCTTCCTCCCACACACAAAACCAGAGAAAATAAGATCTTGGAGTTTAAAGGTGTCTCTGTGAGTGTTTCCTAAAAAACAAAACAAACCAATGGTAAAACGGGAGCCAGTCAGGTCTGCTCCTGCAGGAGGGCAGAGGTGGCCCGGCCAAGAGTGGAGTGCCAGGTCTGCAGGGCAGCTGCTGGTTTTCAGCACTAGCCACAGAACCCTGGGTGAAGCGCTCTTTCTGGGGTCTTTGTGTGGCGGGATGACAGAAGTGGAGCTAAAAGCAGCTCAGCTCGGAGGGTGGTGACGTCCAGTGCTGCTGTTAACCCTGGGGCAAGTGGTAGAAGGTCCCAGGTGCAACTGGTGGAAACCTTTCCCCAGAGGTCTGTTTAGCCCCTGGGCCTCAAGGACTGCGAGTCTAACCAGGAGCTAGCAGCTGTGCTGGGGGAAGGGGAAGTTTCAGCTCCCCCTTCCCTGAAGCTCCAAGCCAACGGCGAGGCAGTGGGCTCCCAGCGTGAGTTCTGGGCCATGCAGAACTGCTTTCCTAGAGGCTCACATTCAAAGGGAAAAGTTGTGCTAGTTTTCCCTGTACAGCCACTTCCCATTTCTGTCCATTTCCTCCTTAGTTTTTGGTCAATGTCCTCCTACACTTAATATTCTGTGGAGAGAATGAGTGGCAATCTGGATGGGTCTCCAACTTCAGCACCTCTGAGCACAAATGGCTTGCAAAATGCCCTCTGTGTTTGAGGGAGACTTGACTCCATCCTCTTTTTCAACAACTGAAATCCAGGAAAAATCCCGCCCCTTTCAGGGTTGGGAGTGGTTTTGAGGCGTGGCTGCCACCTCGTGGAGGAAATCATAGTACAGCTACACTGAACAAAGGCAAGGGGCAGCTTGGCCAACCTTCTGACAGCTGTTTCAGCCAAGTGGTGTTTTGCTTGTCATATACTTCCCAGTTTTTATTCCTATTTCCTGGCGAAATGGTGATAGAACAAACGTTGGCCTCATAATTGAGAAGAATTCAAGATAGTGATTTTCCCGTATCACTCAGCAAACAAGAACTTCACCACCACTTGCTTCCCCTGTAGTCTTAAAGAAAGGAAAATTTGCCCTCCCCTCTGCTAAATTATACCCACAAAAATACACAAGGAACTCACAAGGCATAGTATAGAAGCCACTGACTATAAAGTGAATGGATGTAAATTTCTCTTTCTTCTTACACCCAGAACGATAAAATAGGCTTAGAATTACTTGCCAGGTATACTGTTTTGCATTGCTTTGTTTTTCTGAAGAAGGACAAAGTATAGGTTTGTTATTCTTTCATTGATCTTTATTTTGTAACAAAAATCAGCAGGAACAATAACCCAGGGACAAAAACTGCAGGAGACTGGTTTCATGCTGGAAAGACACAAGCTTCCTTTTAGTAACTTGTTTCTTTAGCACTTTTCCAAGGTGTTGAGAGAGACTGAATGTCAATAGACTCAAGTGGTACAGTTCTCTGGGCTGCCTCCCAGATTTAGCTGGCTGGTGTGACAGGCATTATGGCTCTGTGAAGCTGGCCCCAGCCTTTGTGGGCTTAGCACAGTATAAAGGCTCTTCTACCTTCTAAAAGCTGACGGTAGGAAGAGGGTCTCAAGAACAATCTGTGGGCTGCTTGCCTGGGACGTTTGTGCAGACCAGAGTGGGGCACCAGAGCAGTGGTTCTGGCCGGTCAGCCTAGGAGAGCATAGCCCACCAGAGAGTGTTCCTGCAAAAACCTATCCCCTCGAGCTCGTCAAAGCAATCCTGCCTCTTGGGGCAGGAGTCATGCTCCATCTTTTGCTTCCCTCGAGAAAAAGTTTTACTAGGGAGCTGGGGAAGCCGAGGGGGAAGGAAGGAGAGCCATGGTTTCTCTTGGGCATGCTGGCAACTCACTGGATCTCCCTGGAATGAGCAGCTGAAAGGCTCGCAAGGAATCCAACCATTCCAGGAGCTGCTGTACAGAAGGGATGTGGAAAAACTACACTGCTGGTGTGTTACTGTCCTCAACTCCAACCAAATTCTCTGTGGTTACAAAATGCTTGAAATAAGTCCCTTACTCCAGTCTCACCTGCCCCCTTCCCATAGTGACTTACAGTAATTATCATCTGCATTTGTCCTCATGTCCCTCGCTATATCCCGGCTGTCACCTGGTGAGTAAGGATCCAGCCTGCCCTGGTTCCCTGGGGGTTTGAGAGAACAGCAGGGTCTTGCTGCAGCGTTGTGGGCCTAAGGGCCTGAAGATCTCACCTTCAGCCTCTCTGCCCTCCCAGGAGCCCTCTGTTGACACAGCTCCAGGAACACTGGCATCTTCCTAAGCAGCTCTGTTCCGCTATGCAGGAGAGGTGAATGATGTAAATAAGTAACTGAGTCATTACATTTAACCAAAAGTGTTATTTAAAGCAGGACTTACGGCAGGAAGTTAGTGAAAAGAGTACAGCTTTCCTGACGGATGCACAGTTAAGCTGCAGATTTTAAAACTGTTTCCTCCTTTTCTGAACAAAGAGTCCTCAAAAAGGTATCCGCAGAGGCGCTAAGAAGGTATAAATAACACCACCTATGAGTTATGCTGCTTCTACCAGCTGTTTCAGCAGAAATGGGGGGAAAAATCATGCTATACATAAACAGAGGCTCTCTAAGCCAAGGCCTGAATGAACCACTGCAGAGACTGACAGCCAAGCTGAAAGAACAGCTGGCTACTGAGTGCCGCCAGCTGCGGCACGTAGCTTCCCGAGTCTTCTCTCTCAGCAATGTCTTCATCACTAGGCCAAGGAGGAAAAGAGAGCCGTTGAGCCCCACTGACCACACTGAAATAAAACTTTAGTGTCATCTGCTGGTCTCTACTTCACAGGAGTTTATTTTCCACTGACCAATGAAGAGAAGTGAGTGACGGGGCCAGGCCTATACCCAGTGCTCAGTGACTGCAAGACACCCACCAGCTGGTGGAGGAAATGGTCCTCCCTGCCCAAGATGATGCCTTCATAAACTTTCTAGACACAAAAATGCTCCTTGGTGGACAATTTTTAAAAAAACATATGGAGAGAGCCATGTGGATCATCTATTTATGTTGTCACAGAAAATATACAGATACAAATAAATTTAAATATCAGTGGGCAGACGGGAGATCACAGGAAGAATTTTGACCTTTGTTATTTTTTAAGATAAGCAGAAATTCATGGCAATTCTTATTTTTTCAATAACCATATAATAGCATCATGCCTACCTCCTGCCTCCTGAATATGGCCCGGGAAGCCAGTTACCAACTCTGCCAGCCTCTTAACAATGTAGGAGGAGTTGGAGACAACCTCAAACCGAGGACTGCCTGCCAGTCCCCTCTCAGTGGGAACTCCTGTCCCTGCTCCAGTGTTCCGCCCTTACCCGCAGTTGTCTTTTCCCTTCAAAGAGCAGGATGCTTGCAGCCATGGCTGAGTTTAGGCTGTCCACACCAGGCACGACGGGAATCACCAGCCTCTTGCCCCCAGTGTTCTCGGCCAATTGCAGGGACTCCAGGCTCACACCGTGGGTCTCCCCACCTATCACCACAGCTGCTGGTGCCTCTGTCCAGTCCAAGTCATAACTCTGGACCTCAAGTTCAGGGAGCCAGCCTTTACTGGCTCCAGTTTCTAGATCCACCTCTTCCTCATACTTGTGAAGCTTCGAGAGCTGTCGGTCACATACCCAGCCATGGTCACTGGCTTTATTAGATGTCTGGGCCTGGGCATAAAGACCACAGTTGTCAGCCACGTAGACCCGGGTGTCGGTGGGCAGGTAGTTGGGTACTGTTTCCCAGTCCAGATTGTTGATGATGGGCACCTGGAAATGCGCACCCATACCTGCACGCAGCACTTTGGGCTCCCAGGCATCCACACACCCTAGAAAATAAAAGACAGGATCCAATTAAGATTACAAACCTTCCCAGACAAAGGGACTGTAGAGTAAATCAGATTAATTCTGGATCAGGCGATAAAGCAAAAAATGTCCTACTGTAGCCTTCTTGATAGCTGGGACTTCTGCCATCCCACCTATGGCAATGTCCAGCAAAGGGACTGTAGGATTAATTCCTGCTGGTGCTGCAACAGATTTTATCCATCTTTTCAACATTTACCATCCACAGGTGCCAGACACTGTACGGGAGATGCACAGAGCATTAAAAGTCCCCAACCTCAAGGAGCTTGAGGTACAGTGGACAATGGTGTCGGGATGATATTTAAACAGGGGACTACAATATCAGTAATAACTGACGTAAAAGAAGCGTGAACAGGGTAATAGAAACCCTTGTACAAAACAGGGCCACCAGGAAAAACATCCTAGAGAACATGATGCTGAGTTGGATCTTGAAGGACCAGAGGGTCTTGTCAGAGAAAGGCCCAGACAGAGGACAAAGTTACAGCAGGGGGAAGAGTACCACAGTCCAGGAAGGTGGATCAGGCCCATTAATGGGTGGGGGTGTGGTGGGAGAGGAGATGGGAGGCAGGCAAGGACCAATTTTCCAGGAGGCTGGGTATGCCAGGCTGAGTTGTTTCGGATTTTATCCAGAAGACAATATAATGCCATTGAAGGATTTTTAGCAAAGTAGTGACAGACTCTGGTTTATGTTTTAAAAATACCCATTTGTCTTCAATGTTAAATCTGGATTGAAGCAGGGAAGACTAGGCCCGAGATGGGGAAATGAGACCAGAGGCACTTACAGCAATCCAGGGAGAAGCAAGGCAACAGCCTTGTTGTTCACACACACACCTTCTCTCATGCTGTAGTAAGAAGGCTAAAAGAATTATTCTTTTACGTACAGTCACATGCTAAGCCCAACCACTTCTATACACTGGCAGACACCTCGCCTTTCCCAGGACCAGCGCACCACATATCTACCACTCTCCCTTGACTTGTTAGCATGAGTCTCCTCATTACAAGTTATTTAAAAAATTAATCTGTCAAATTTAGGATAAATTAAGTAGGCAAACCAAATTTAAAAAGAAAAATTAGACATGGAGCATGTAACATTGCCCACACATATCCCCAACCATGGGTTTTCCCAATCACTGCAGGGAAGGAGAGATGGGAGACAGGCTATATGCCAAGAGGGTGGGGGCAAGGGAGGGACAGAAAAGGGGCCCAGACTCATGACAGGAGCTGTCTACCTGGTGGGGAGTAAGGGACAGGATGAGCCTTCTCCCCTCATCCTCATGTCCTGGATAGTGGGCACCACACCTAGTGTTCCCTACTCTTTCCCTCCCTCTTATGCAGCAGTCACCAGCATCAGTGTGGGAACCACAGTGCTTGGATTCTATAGCTACATTTCCAAAACCACACCTGCTCTCAGAACTCTCAACAATGAGGTGGGTAAATGGGGTATGTATGATGGAACCCCAGCACCTAGCTCTCACACCAGCAGAGAAATACACTCCAACAAAGCGTGACTGGAAGAAGTGGCAGGAGCAATTTAGGCAAGTCTCAGCAATGCGTGCCACTATTAGTTTACACGGAATAGCAGCTTGAGCGCTTCTGATGAATGATCCTTTCCCTCCCACCCTCCCCTCAAGCTGTAATAGGCATTTTAGGCATGTCCCAACTGTTAGAGGAGTCTGTTTAGAACCAAGCCTACTAATCCCCATTTCTGATGAGAGGAGATGGAAATGTAATGAGGCTAATTTGTATGGGGGTGTGTGACCCATTCTGAAGCTAAGGGAAACATCATGATTTCATAATCACACTCTTAACAGATAGCATTCCTTTCACAGGATTCAGAACGTCAAGATTTACAAAGGTCTCATAATCCCAACAATTTGGGAACTCAAGACCATTAAATAAAGGATTTGAAACCAAGTGTTAAAACTGGCATCTATTTCTTTCTCTGATTGATTTTAAATTGTTTCTTTAATAACCTAGCAGGTGTCAAAATAATTTTAAAAGCTAATTAATATTTGCTGAATTACTTACTGTATGCCAGGCACAGTGCTAAGTACTTTATGTGCCTCATCTCACTTAATCCTTAAAACAACCCTACTAGGTAGATTCTGTTCCGCCCACTTTACAGATGAGGAAACTGACACTCAGAATATTGCTCACGGACATCTAACTCAGTAAGGGCAGATACAAGATTCAGATCCATGCATGTCTGCCCACTGGGCCAGCTCACTTACAAATGGCCACTCCATCCACCCAGTAACAGGTGCTCTTACCCTTGGTGAGTAATACTTTGCTGCAGCCTGCCCCAGCAGCAGATCTCAGAATCGTCCCCAGGTTCCCAGGGTCACGGAGATTGTCACAAATCAACAATAAGGGTAGTGAATGGCGAAGCTGAGTCTCTGGGTATGTCATCTTAACATGGTCAGGTTTGGCAAAAATCCCTGAGGAAACAAAACAGGTGGTTCCCTTGTCTGATGTGGGCATTGGGAATAATTGGACTTTTCACTTATTTATTATTCTGTCTATATTCTTAATTACCTAAATAATATATGAATACATTCTGACTGAAAAAATTCAAACATAAAGTCCTGCCACTGACACACACCCCCCATAACTGTTTTCAATCTTGGAATGTATTCTTTCACAACTTGTTCATGCATCTACCCACATATATGAACATCTACCCATATATATGTGCTTTTTTCTTTTATATATAAAAAAAAAAATCATACTCTATGTATCATTCTGTAACTAATTTAACTCTATAACATGTCTTAGAGAACTTACCATGTCAATACATTCACAGCTACTTATTCTTTTAACAGCTGCATGTTATTTTGTAACACAAATGTACCACATTTATTTAGCTCTTCCCCAACTGACTGACATTTAGTTTATTTTCAGTTTTTCCCTATTATAAACAACCCTGCAATGAACATTCCTGTATGACTCTTTGTGCATATGTCCACACACTTCCCAAGGAAAAATGGATAAACGAATTTTTATGGCGTGTGGATAAATGAAATGGATAAATGGCATGTGGCACTCTTAATGTTAACAGATACTGCCAAACTGTGCTGCTCACAGGCTATTCTAGTTTATTCACACCAAGAACACATAAATACCTGTACCTAACCCATGAATGAAGGCAATGGAACGATATCAGGCAACTGTAAGCAGTAAAAAGATCCTGCACTTAAGAGTCACAGAGCCACAAGACCATTCATTGGGGCAGGGGGCCTTAGAAGTCCTTTAATTTCTACTTGAACAGCTGTGATGATAAGAACACTCTACTTCTGGAGGCTCCACTAAATTACTGGATTTTGGAGCTGTGCCTTAAGTCTGACAGGTACTGCTAGATCTTATCTATTTCTGCTTTTACCCCACCCTCTCAGATCTGAAACAAAACATGATAACGATAAGCTAAATAATACATATACTTAAAAGCCATTAAATGATGAAAGCAGTTATAATGACGAAGGGGGCTAAAGAAGTCCAGGATGGGTTGGCTACACGCCCAAAGTGGCAAGCACGGTAAAAACGAGCAATACTTTCACTGTAGCATGGAGTAATGATTAGAGAGGTGTAGCTAAAGAGATCACAGCAACTTAGAGTGTGTGGAGGACTTTAGTAGTCTAAGTCCCCACCTAGGGGAGAATTCTGAGCACAGAGGCACAGATCCCTGTGATTTGCTGGGTTACAGACATAAGAGATGATCCCCAGAATTTCCTCTCCCAACTAATAGCTGCACCATGAGCCCACTACAGGGAATACACATGCACAACTAGTATGAGAGGCTCTGGCTAAACATTAGAATCTTTTTTTTTTTTTCTCCAAGATTTTATGTTTCCTTTTTCTCCCCAAAGCCCCCTGGTACACAGCTGTGTATTTCTAGTTGTGGGTCCTTCTAGCTGTGGGATGCGGGACACTGCCCTAACATAGCCTGATGAGCGGTGCCATGTCCGCACCCAGGATCCAAACCCGAGAAACCCTGGGCCGCCGAAGCAGAGCGTGCGAATTCAACCACTTGGCCACAGGGCCGGCCCCAAACGTTAGAATCTTGAAGATCACTCCCCCTGCCCCAACTGTCCCCTGCTATCCAAGAGAAACCTCTATACTTACTACCAGTCAATGCTCAAATCTTAACTATAACTCCAATGTCAAAAAAGTGTAAAGAATTTAGTTTTTCCATATTTAGAAAGAAGATTAAGTGCTAACAGACACCACAGTCTATTAGAATCGTAATTTAGATTCAGTCAAATGAAGACAAAGTTTCTTGTTCAATGGGTTAAACAAGGCAATAAATTGCAGCTTACTGCTCAGATCTGTTTCTAGAAGAAGGGGGTCAATGACAGACAGGTATTACCAGCCCAGCGGAGGTTTTGTGGAAATAGAGGGCTAAATCTTTTGGTAAACATTTTCTTAATTTTTAGTTGGACATTGAAGGCTGAAGAAGTGACCTAAAAAATGTAAGGTTTGAGGAACAGTGTCTATCCCTAGAGATTACAAAGAGTCACAATACAAATGATGACAAAAAACTGACTTCACTTCCCACTGAAAATACTATAGGATGCACAGATTTGAGAAATATATTTTTTTGTGTCTTAAGAAAAGACTAGGCAATAGTATTTTGAATTCGGCTTAAATAAAATTTGTTGGGGCCGGCCCCATGGCCGAGTGGTTAGGTTCGCGTGCTCTGCTTTGGCAGCCAGGGTTTCGCTGGTTCGAATACTGGGCAGGGACATGGCACCACTCATCAGGCCATGTTGAGGCCGCATCCCACATGACACAACTAGAAGGACCCACAACTAAAATATACAACTATGTACTAGGAGGGTTTGGGGAGAAAAACCAAAAAAAAACAAAAAAAGTTGGTGCCCTCAGACAAGTATGGACAAATAATCCTAGGTCTTTACTTCTAGTGACATACTGTATAACCACTGACCCATTATTCCTTGTGGTGTTACTAGATCAGACCAATCCTTGATGTCCTCAAATTTCACCTTAATGAGGCTGACACCTTTCAGCTTATCAGTGGGCAGCTCCTTTATGTAGTCCAGACGGCTAAAGAAGAAAACTTTTGGCACAGCACCAGCCTTGAGAGCGTCTGCAATCAATCTGCGACCTTCCAGCAAGATCTTCCCTTGCTTTTCCCGAAATGGCCTGGACTTAACGATTGTCATTACACTGCTGTGGGTAGAAACAAAAAGATGGATAATTACCAACAACCTTGTTACGGAGACACACCTAGTTATAACATACATGAAGAAGCTCAGAGAGACAGAAACAAACGAATTCCAAGGAAAACACCCGGACTCTCCGTGCGCAATAAAAACCAGCGGGTTGTCCTGGAAGAAGTCCTCCAAGAGGAAGAAAGAGGTTAAGGTCCCGCTGTGGGGCGGGAAGAGAAACGGGGATACTCGACAAGCCTCACGAACACATCACCTCAGCCTTTTGTCCCCTGGTAAAGCCTTGTCATAGCGAAGCCCGGACTCTTCCCAGGTGCTGGGCGTCTGGGATGGGGGCACAGGAAGCGGCTGCTTCAGTCGCTGCTCGTGGCGACCGGCCTCAAACACCCCTTTCCGGGGCTGCTTCCCAGGACTGAGCTTCCGTTCCACCACCTCTCCCGATGGAAACACCACTTTCACGGGGCTCCGCCGCAGCGCCCGCACCCAGCGCCGAGCGTCACGGTCCCAACTCTGAACCACCGGTAACAACGGTCGCGTGGCCTGCCCCAGGCCCTTCACCAGCGCCGCCATCTTTCCCGGCGCAGTGGGCTACGTCAAGAAAGCGCGCCGGCGGCGACCAATGACGTCACCGGCCCCTATGCGTCATCTGTGGGCGGTGTGGCGCTGTAACGTGTCACGGGTGTGTGGTGCTGATGGTCATGGCGACTCGGCGGGCTCTGCACTTCGTGTTCAAAGTGGGAAACCGCTTCCAGACGGCGCGTTTCTATCGTGATGTCCTGGGAATGAAGGTGCAGACGGGGCCGAGAGGGGCTGGCCCGCGAGGTTGGCACGGGCCGCTGAGCCACACCTGGCCGAGGGAGGGCAGAAATGGGTGTGTCGTGAATCTCAGCCAGAACCCGGGAGTCTGACCTTAGCCCTTGGGCTCCCCGTTAGCCCTGTTGGGTTTTCAGCTTTAGGAAGTGTTGCGAGTCGCTGGTTGGGTTAGACGGCCTTTGAAAGGGTGGGTTCACCCTTAGTAGTCACAGACTATGTGCCCACACACGTTCTTTCATTTAAGTTCACTCACAAATATTGAGCTCCTGCCCTGTGGAGCTTCCAGTCTAGTGGGAAAGACAGTAAACAAACAAAAGGTTATATAATACTCTTCCAATGATCAGTAACTCAGTCGCTTCTGGTTTGGAGCTTTTCGGTTTCGGTACTCAGCATATTAAGAGTTCTGCTTTTCTCAGGGCTTGTTTGAATGGGCTCTTGGATAATTTTTTGGATCTCTCTGGATGAATGCTCTGACTATCCTCTCAACAGTCCAGATCTAAGTGTGAAGTGACAACCCTTTCTCCTCTCCGATGCCCAGAAGCGGCATTTCTCCAGCCTTGAGCAGCTGTGATTCTGCAGGGGTCACCTGGGTGGCAGATGCAGGTGGAAGCCGTTGGAGGTCTCCTGATAAGCAAGGGCTTTAGAGGTGCAACAGTGCAGAAGACGTGGAGTGCAAAGGGAGTTAGCTGAATTCATCAGGCTTTTGAAAAATATCGTCTGTGTTTTGACAAATAAAAATGGCAAGTAATAGGATATATTAGAGTATATGAGGAAGCCATTTTGTGTAAACCTAATTCCGCCTGACCTTGTCTTTCCAAAAGGGCCTGACCGAGGCCGTTGAGCATGCATTGTATATCTGCTTTAGAGATTCCCTATGGCAAGAGTAAAGGCCCTTGAGATAAAGGTGCAACTTCTCTCCCCCTCCCAACGTTGGCATCTCCTTAAAGATTAAGCATCTTTCTTTAGGCTGGGAACCAATTGCAGCACTCATCTGTGACCGCCCAGCCCGAGGCAACACACCTGCCACCCCGCGGCATTCACTGAGAGAGCAGACCTATCTGCCATTTCCATCAATTGCTGTGCTGACAGAGCAGCCTATTGTAAAAGGGACATTTCAATCATATGTGAAACATACTCTTTGAGGGTATATAACCACCCTGTATACCCCCACTTCTTTGGAGTGCTCTGTTCATTTGTGGAAAGACTCTCCCGGGTTATAATCCTCAGATTTAAGCTCAGAATAAACTCACCCAAATTTTCGTTTATAGATTGGTTATGGATTATTTTCGTCAACAGTTCTGTGGTACTGTGTTGAACTTTTGTGACGGGGATGAAAACGACCCTGATATCTGTCTTCCATAAAAGCTCCTGGCCTGAGATGATGTGGGAGTGGAAATTGGATTTGTACATAGCTAGCAGTAATGGAAAGAGAAATTTGAAAGTGATAGAAAACCACAAAGCTCTCCCTTAATGTGTTTCCTCACTGACTGAAGGTTTGTTGTGAAGATTAAACGCATTATTATATGTGTAGCATTTGGCACATCGTATGTATTATGTAAGCATTAGCTACTATTACTATAAAATTACCACAGAGGGAGAGATTTAACTCTAACCTGGGTCGTCAGGAGGTAATCCGTGGAGACCTTGTGTTTGAGTTGACCTCTAAAGATAGGTAGGATTTCCACAGACCAAGATTGGGGTGGGAGGGTACTAGAAAAACTGAATAGGTGTGTTTGAGAAGCACCACTAGTTTTATATGCCTTTAGCTTAGGTTACTTAGCTGAAGTTGAGGGGATGGGATATCAGGACCAATAGGGTGGGACTGCTTCTAATAGTACCTTGAATACCATGCAAAGGAATTTGGATTTTATGCCACAGTAAGTAGAGAGATCTCTTACGTTTTAGAACAGGGCAGTGTTTTGATCAGAGCTGTGCTTTAGGGACATAATCTTATGGTGGTTTTAAGGAAGGCGATCAATAAAGATGATTTGCAATAGTCCATGAGAGAAGTGATGCGAGCTTGAACTGGAGCAGTAGCAGTGGGAATCAAAAGGGAAAATAGAAACTAGCACATTGAGAGCCTACTGTGTACTAGATTCCATGTCAACTGCTTTAATAAATTATCTATTTTCACAGCATATTAGGAGACTCAGATCCTAAGCGGTGTCCTCAGAGTTACACAACTACTAGGTGACAGCCACAATTTTAAATCAGACTTCTGCAATGCTGAAGGCCACATTTTTTTTCCTGCGTAGCGTTGCTTCCCAGTCTAAATAGATTTCACAACTTTGCTTGATGCCTGACCCTTGGTATCCAGTTGTTCTTCCTTACTTCCACTACTTCAAGCCTGAGAAAGATAGAAAGATAACTATCTTTTGTTCGATTTACCAGTAAAGCGCACAGATGATAATATCAGTGTTTTGACATGTTAATTTACGTTAAATATGCTGTGTGTGCAGTACTAGTAAAACCTTACAAGTTATTCTAATTCCCTTACCAGATTCTGCGGCATGAGGAATTTGAAGAAGGCTGCAAAGCTACCTGTAATGGGTATGACACTTGATTCTTAAAATCTTCTTTAGGCTCTGAATACCCCTGGAGAACAGAAGGCAGTTTCTCAAAAGTGACTATAAGACAGTGGAAGAAATTAAGGAGGCAATAAATTAGGCAACTTCAGGAGCACAAATAAGTATGTGCTCTGGATGAAGCAATATCTTATGAGTGTCTCTTAAGCTTAGTAGCCACAGCAAGCAGGAAAATTCCAAGGCCTGATGGGAGTTGCATGCTCATTGATGGTTATACAAAAGAATAAATTAAAGTCAGGTTGGAAAACTGTCTTTATAGGATTCTGTCACCTATTTAAAGAAAGTGTAAATGAATCTTTCCTTCAAGGAAGTGGCAAATGGACGGTCTTTGAAGCCTTTGGTGATGGGACCCACAAGCACTGTCCACAGTTGCTCTTAGCACCAGCTGAGGTCATCTCATCCTTATGGGTACTTAGAGGACTGGAAGGGACTGCCCATCTCTCTGTCCCAGTAGTTCTTTGGGGGAGGGCTGAGGCAGATTTTGTCTGTGGTCACTGAGTTCATTTACTTTCATTTTTCTAGGCCTTATGATGGCAAATGGAGTAAAACAATGGTGGGATTTGGACCTGAGGATGATCATTTTGTTGCAGAACTGACTTACAATTATGGCATCGGAGACTACAAGCTTGGCAATGACTTCTTGGTAAATATTTGGTTCTATCAGATTTATGGCTGTACCGTTTATGGAGATGACTGATGCAACTTTAGGTGTCATGACTGCAGAAGTGATGCAGTTTAGTGATTAGTTTCATGATGTTTTCTGTTTAAAAAAAAAATTCTGTCTCAGAGCTGGCTTCCGGATGAAATGTGCTCTCCCAGTATTTAGGAATCACGCTCAAGACTTAGAGACAACTTTGAGGGAGACAAGATTCCTCAAGGGGAAGACTGAACCTAGAGAGGTAGAAGGGCCACGGTCATTGGTCTGGTCCGGTCCTGATCACCATTCAGAGAAATTTTTTTTCTCTAGTGGACTGTTAGGATTGGATTGGGCATTTATAGCCAATCTTAGAGAAAAACCTGAGGAGGTTTTAAGGAGAGAGAGAAGGCATTGCAAACACTGCATTCATTCATTCATTCAAAGATTCAAGTTATGTGGTAATAATATCTACCACTTATTGAGCACTTACTGTGTGCTAGATATAATGTCACTGGGCCCAAATGCATAGCAAGATAGGAGTAACTAATTTTCACTCAGAATCTACTGAGCAAACCTACCTCGTGCCAGATGTTGTTTTGGTCATTCGATCTCACTGTTCCTGTTAACTCATGTTAAAATAATAATGATATTGAGATGGAAATTTTTATGAGGATCAAATATGTATAAAAGTGTTTTGTAAATGGAAAGGATTCTTCACATTTAACGTATTAGTATATTTGGTTTTCTCTTTCTCATTCTTCATGTCTGTAACTAATTTATTCATTTAATAGATATTTATTGTCACTTACTATATAACGTGTACCTCATTAAGTCCTGGGGGATACAATAGAAAGTGAAACACGTTCCCTGGCCTAAGGAGGTTCCTGTCTGGTTGGGGGAACAAGTAAAGAGACAACAAAGTGTGATAAGATTGGGATAAGAACAGGGGAGTGTGGGACTACATAGGAGGAATTCCTAGCCTGTTGTCAGAGAGGTGAGAATTGGGGGAAAGATTCCTGAAAGTGACATCTGAGCCAGGTGAGTGGGGTTGGAGTGGGAGGGTGAGATGAGCGTCCTCAGCATGTGCACAGGCCTGGAGGTGAGACAGACCATGGTACTCGGAGACCTGGGAGTAGAGCAGTCTGGTTGGAGCTTCGTGTGTGAAGAAGGGAGGGGGTAGAGCTGAGGCTGAAGAAGTAAGCTGGGGCCACATCATATTAGGACAGTTTAGACTTCATTCCACGAGCAGAGTGAAGCCATTTTTAAGCAAGGAAATGACATAGTATTTGTGATGTGCAAGAATCCACCTGGCTAGAGCTGGGGTTGGAAGTGAGCAAGACTGGAAGTGAGGGAACTAGCTGGAAGGACAATACAGTGAGTGACTAGCAGCTCCTTAACTAACATGGTAGGAGTGGGAGATGGAGAGAAGGGGATGGATCTGAGAGATGTTTAGGAGGTAGAGTTGATAGGATTTGGTGATTGAGTATATTTGAGAGTTTCTTTGTGTTTCTTCCTACCTTTCTTTTCTTTACTCTTCAAATTTAAATCAGGGAGAGAAAGACGAGCA